TTTTTTTTTCCTTTTTTTTTTTTTTTTTTTTTTTTTTTTTTTTCTTTTTTTTTTTCTTTCAGCTTTTTCCTCTGGGGAGGTTTCAGAGCTGGCACTAGCCATGTCCCAAAGAGACTGAAAAGTGAATGTGTGGTGCGGCTTTTCTGGCTCAGAGCAGCTCAGCGTGGTGTCTGCTGCTCCTTTATATCATAGAATGGCCTGGGTTGAAAAGGACCACAATGCTCATCTGGTTTCAACCCCCTGCTGTGTGCAGAGTGACCAACCAGCAGCCCAGGCTGCCCAGAGCCACATCCAGCCTGGCCTTGAATGCCTCCAGGGATGGGGCATCCACAACCTCCTTGGGCAACCTGTTCCAGTGCTTCACCATCCTCTGTGTGAAAAGCTACCTCATATCTAACCTAAATCACCCCTGGGGGGTCACTCAGCTGGGTGTGATGTGAAGAGTAGGTTCAGACCTGTGTGGCACATGACTTGGCCTACAGCATTCCCGTTTGATGTTAAATGTTCCTGTGGGAATGCGGTTTTTGAGGTAACGGTGCTTGTGTGGTGCCTGGGGGCACCGGTACTTGATTACTGGGTAATCAAGTTAGTGGTTTGGGGGTGCTGCCTGCTGCTGGATTTTGGTTGCCTTGAACTCTGTTTCCCACCTGCTTTTTAAAGGGTTCAGAGTAAAATGTGGAGAAACAGCATTGTTTGTGGCTGTGTGGGTATTGATCAACAGTCTGGGAAGAGAAACCTGTCAATTTCCCTTGCTAGTTTTAGGAGAACAGTGAATCGAAGCAAGTTGGTGGTCACTTTCTACAATAGCCTTGCATTCTGTCTAAATTCATCGTTTGAAATAGCACCAAGGATTGCAAGTATTTATCATTTTTGCCTCATGATGAAGTGAACGTTGCATGAATTATTGGCGTAGTCGTGTAATTTCCATTAACAGTAATAGGAGCTGTAAGCATGTAGAAGGAGGATGGCTTATCCTATGATCCAACCTATTATGAAGTATTTAACTGATTAGTTAGGGTGCTGCAAGCCACTTCATACCATCGGTGAACTCTCTGCAACCCCATTATCTTCATTAGGCTTGTGTGGGTGTAATTAATTGGTGTTTAGTTAACAGTCGTGTTGAATGAAAAGAATTTAGTTCTATTTCTCTTAGTTTTATTGGCCCCATAGTGCTAACAGGCTAAAGTGTAATTAAAAACTCACTAATCAAAGTGCAAGTAGCAAGCTCTAAGGAACTCACACACGTGAGGGAAAAGCATGTGGTTGGTGTGGATCTGTCCTTGCCAAATGAGCAGGTACAAATGATATCCTGCTGTAGTTCTTTTTCAGTCTTGAATTACAAAGGTGATTCAGTTATATTGTAGGTGCTTTTAAACAGTACCCAACCACAAAGGCTGCCATTACTGCTTTCCTAGGGGCGTCTGGTAACACTGTACTGCGATGTCGTCTTAACTGATTTTTCTACTCAAAATGCTTATAGTTATATTGAACTTTGGTTAGACAGAAAAATCGATTTTATACTCCTTTACAGAGAAGCCATATGTAAATTTTTATCTGCTTTTGATTTTGCTGTAGCTCCTTTGTCAGGAAATACCCTATGATCAGCTGCTCCTCATTTATGATACCATATTCTGTGCATTACTTTGTTTCTCCCAAGCTTTTTTTTTTTTTTATGTCTGGCTTGAGTCTTGTAGCAGTGATTATCAGCATACTGCTGGGTGTGCTAAACCCAAGTATGGTGTCACATGCCTATGTGTTGCATAAAGGATGTGATTTTTTCCATTCTGAAATGTTGCTATAAAGGCATAAATGTGCCCCTTAAATCAATTAAGATCGTGGTCTCCCTGCCATCTATGTTTCTTTAGGATTTCACAGAGGAGTAATGTGTGCCTATTCTGCTGGCAGGGTTCTTTGAAGTCAAGTCTGAGCTCATAAAAACTGCATGGCGTTTCCAATGAAATCAGGATTGCTGTTTTATCTTGGCAATACAAACACTCTTACACAAATATATTACTGGTTTTAAGGAATCCTCATTTCTTAAAAAGAGGATTTTAAGGTTCTTCTCTTTACGTGTAAAAATAATTCTAGTGGCTTTTTGGGTTTTTTTTTTTTTTTTCCCTAGATATTCTATATAGGGCAAACAAGTAACAAAGTTGAATACAGGGTTGTATAAAGGATCAAGACAAGGCTTGGGTCATAGGATGCAGCTACGCATAACATTTAGGTTGGACTTTCTGTCTAGATAAAAGTTACCCAAGAACTTCTGCAATGTATCTGATGGATATGAGGAAATACATGTTAATAATTTAGCTTGTGTTTTGTTTTTTCCTTTTTTTTTCCTCTGGTGTTGTTATTTTAATTCCCAGAATACTCATATAAGTGTTCATTTGCCTTGAGTAATTGTTCTCCGCTCCAGTGGTTACTTCAAGTTGAGTGGGTTTTGGTACTAATTTATTTCTGAAGTTGGAGGATTCTTCCTGTGGCTCTGTGTGGCTCATGCTGTGCAAGGGTGAGCCAGGCCTTCTGCAGAGGAGGCCACAGGCCTGCAATGTGAGAGCTGATTGGCTTTCATTTATCATTCCAGCTCTGAAGGTAATTTGGAACGTGTGGTACTTCTGCTCAAGTCTTTCAGCTGATTTTTCAGTTTACAAAAGATTGTCTTCACATTTCTGTGATGTAACTGTTTTTTACTGTGTAGGTTATTTTCTTTGTAATGCGCCACTTCTTGATGCGTGCTTTGATAGTTTCATTCCATGGCATCAGGAGTTCACTACGTGATTTCTTTGTGCATGCATTTTGAAGTACCCAGTATGAATTTTAAGACATTATTGAAGCCTATGTATTTCCAGGGTGTTGACACGATGGATTATAGAGATTTTTGTCTGTATTTTCAATAGGATACTCTGAAATGTTAGTACTCTTGTGAATATTTACAGAGTTAAGGTGTTACTGGGCTTTGTAAAACTCACATACAAACGTTTTTTATGACATGAGGAGTCTCTGTTCATGCATCAGTTATTTTGTATCAGTTATTGATACAGTTTCATAGATCGCATGGCAAACTGGCCATGCTGCATTTGGTACTTAGACAAAGCTGCGATCAAATTCAGAGGTGAGCAGAGAGCTAAAAAGTAGGAGCATCTACTTAAGTTTTCTAGGTCTACGGAAAAAAAACTTTTACATAAATCAGTGGAATTAATTCTTTCATTTTTTTAAAAATTATTTATTTATGGTCAGAATTATTTCCTTGGATGTGCTTTTTTTTTTTTTTAATTTGTGTGTTTTTATTTGTATAAATCTTTCTGCTTTCAAAGAGCGTTGCCAAAATTATTTTTAATCTGAATTATATTTTAGCTTTACCCTTTGGGTTTTCCCCTTTCTTTCAAGGATCTCATATTTTTATATTGGATTGAAAATCCCCTACATTTTCTCAACCATAGTAAAAGCATCACTTGTGGTTCCAAGTACAGAAAGTTTTGGGATGGTTGGAGGCAATCTGTTCCTGACTGCAGATCGAAGGCTTCTACGACTGAGAAGCTGAACTAGTGCAGGATATCTGTGCGATCCATGAAAATTAAAGTTTTAAATCAGATTTACGTAGGAGCTTGTAATAGTTGAAGTGTGAATATTGTGATGAATGAGCAATAGCATTAACTGAATTCTCAAGTCCCGTAACTTGCTGACAGGCTTTAAGAGAATCTGCTCTGTTTCTTTCCAGGAAAAGCGAAGCCGAGAGCAGAGGATTTTAAGGAGTTCAAATAAAAAGGTAATTTTCACATTACTGTTTAGAGCTGAGGCTTTTCTATGTCCTCTATTTTTTTTTCTTCAACACATTTTTTGGGACCAAACTGAGTATGGAAGAAAAGGAAGAATGGCATTTTTTTCCCCATGGTATATCTCCTGATTTTTGCAACCTTAATCACTTGGGGCATGTCTTGAACTTTTAACCTTCTTTCTCCAGCAATGATGCTGTGAATAATGGACTCTCCTGCTTGACACATAACTAGACTGCAGTTCAAAGTGGATGTCACAAACACTATTGCACCATCTGGAACAAAAGCTTGACCTATCATTTTGGGATAAGCCCACAAGATTGTATGAATTTATAACTGACTTCATGTTTGTATTAGAGATACCTAAGTAGTGCAATTGTACAAATATTTTTTTTAACAATTTTTGCCTCTCTTGATGGTATTTTTTTGCACAAAACCCCCAGATTTTCAGATCTCAGATGAAAGTGAGTGGGGGAAACCCCACACCCCCCAAAATGTTAAATATTTCCCATGAGGCCAGGGAAATGCTGTACTCATTGTGACACTAAAATTCTCTATTTCCTTCTATTTCTGTTAATGCCATTGTTACCTTTAACAGTTTACTTCAGTTTGAGTCTTGCTCTGTAAAAAGAGAGAAATATTGTTCCTACATACTCTTGGAAAAAATAGCAATAAGAGAAGCTGGATGCAAACTGGAAAGCTTTTGAGAGCATACCTCCTGAAGTACACAGTATTCACAGTTTCTTGCAAGATACTCAGTTACAAATCTGAATAATGTCCTGCAGCTGCAGTGAAGCACATCTTCTTTTGAAGAATAAATTTACTGAAAGGCATTCCTGTTTTGAGTGTACGTCATCAACAAAATATTGTTTTGGTAAATTCTGTGTGCTGATAGAATTATACTGGGAGCTACTTGTGTGGCTTGGCTGAAAGCACTGATTTGGAGTGAGCTCAAACACCTTTGACTCTCCTCAGAAGTCAGTGAGACTTACAAATCTGTAGCATTTCTTACAGAATGGCTTGAAATTAGGTGGAACTATGGGCATGAGGTCAGTCCAGTGGTTTTGCAGTCGTCTTTTAGGGAAAGAAGGAACTCTTATAGAGACAGTATCGCATGGAGAATAGTTTGATTTTCTCTTCTTTACTACCCCCCATCAATTATTTGTATGGATTGACAAGATAACCCCAGGCCTTTTCCAATCTGAACAGTCCCAGCTCTCAGTTTATCTCAATGTGAGGGATGCTCCAGTCCTTTGATCATCTTTGTGCACTGTGCTGAACTCACTCCAGTAACTTCATAGCTTTCTTGCGTAAGTTGCATGCATGGAAATTGTAAAGGTATATTTGGTGATGCTAGCGTAAGGATTTGATTGTTTGATGGAGGATAACTGGAACCATGCTTAAGAATAGAATTCAGTATCAGGCTCTGGGTTTCTATTAGGATTTATCAGAAAATCTATGTGTAAGCCACTGAAAATATTACAGACTCATTCATTACATATAGCATCGATAGGAATGTACCTTTAACTCTTGAAGACTTTTTAACAAGTCTTCTGTTTTCTAGTCTCCATTTCTTACAAGAGCTACTAAGAGCAACATGGGAGGAGAAACTGATAGAAATAATTGTTTGGAAGAAGTCCCTCTAGAACTGCAATTGCACATTTTGTGAAATGTGTGTAGAACAATGAAAAAAAACAGTATGAAAAACATACTAGCCAGAAAGCAGTCAGCACACCTAATGTGTCCAAACAGCCATTATGAAAACCAGCACTTTCCACAGCAAGGAAAGAGGATATGTTTGTTGTTAAGTGCTGATATCTGCCCATCAGGCCGAGGGAAATACCCAACCTGTACAACTGGATTTGTCAGAGTAGTTTGAAAAACATCTGCTTTTTGCCTTTGCCAGTTTATTGATACTCTGTTTCTTGATCCATTCATGAGGGGGATAGCAGTTCAATAACACAATCTAGAACACTTCTGGCAATGCATGCTCTGTTTCAATAAGTAACCATGGCATTATTTTGAGAAGTGCCTGTTCTATTTTAAAGTTAAATGAAATCCTAGCGCTTGTATTTTTAGAAGCTTAAATCCACAATGGACTATCAGATCATTTACTCTTGACCTCCCATGTATACCAAGCTTTGCATTGCTGTTTTTGCATGCGATTTAAAAGATTAAACAGTTTTAGTTTTAATTTGAGAATAATTGCTGCCTGCTTGCAGCATAATATCTTAATAAAGAGCATAGCTCTTAATTAAAAATTGTGTATCTTTTAATTATGTATTCTATGAGCATTGACTGTAACAGGCAAGAAAATGAGCATAGGAACATCTTAAATTCCCTGGCTACTTGTCAGAAGATAGTAGAGTTTTTCTTTTATGTTTTCTACTTCTAAACAGTCATTTTTTCAGGGCTGCCATGAAGTGTTTGTGAAGCTACTGCGCCAGCCTGCCCTGTGATGGGAGTTCATTCAAAGGCCATGTTGTTTCAGGACAAGCATCAGTAGCAATTACCACTTCCAGCTTTTCTCTGGAAGTGTGAGTTTTTGCCAGGGGCTCCAGAGTCGCTCTGCTAGCTTCGGCCTCAGAAAGAAAGATCGGTTATTCTCAGTTTCCTCTGTCAGTTCGTAATGCTTAAATTTCAGATCGAAGTTGTACTCTCAGTGGCTATTGTGGGGCTGTGCATATGAAAAATATCTGCATCTTTCCCGCTATGATCATCTTTCAGCTGATCGGTGTGTGATGCTATGTAAAACAACCACCATGCTTGCCTATGTTAGAGGCACTGCCAGAGAATAAAGAATTTCACTGCCGTGATGACTCAGCACATGAATAGCTTATAATGATCTGGTTCTCTGACCTTTTCCCCAGCCTCTAAGAAGCTTTCAAAAGCTATTTATTCTTTATGGAATTTGTGATTTAAAAACAAAACAGAAAAACCAACTTGACAGCTATGAATGACAGTACATGGAGATGGATTTAAAAAAAAAAAAGAATTCAAAATGAGAAAAGATGAGATTTTGTACAGTTTTTCAGATTTTTGTTCTGATTAAGTTTTACAGATATGGACTTTTTTTGCCTGTTTGCACAGACAGCCAAATAAATTGTGATCTGAATTTTGTACCAAACCTCTAAAACCTACATACTAAAGTGATGAAAATCATAATGCCTTTGGGTGCACTCTTGAATCAGTGCATAACATGACAGAGTTTTTGTTATAAGTTAATGCATGTTTCAAACGAAGACAGGAATTAAATATGGTCTCAAGACATTTCTGTTGGTTTGATTGTTGTTAGAATCAGTGTCAGTATGGCATTTTTATAAGCTGTTGCTTTCTAAAGCTATGGAGCAGAGCGACACAAAATATGGTCTTGTTAGTTGATAAGTCACTGTTAGCAAATGACTGATTTGAAGGGGATTAAACTCACTATTCAGTAACTAAACCCACTTCTTCAGGCCACTCCAGGCTTTCTGTGAGTCTCTTCTGCATATGCACAACTTTTTAAGGTTAAAAAGAAGTTACATTAGTCTGGTTTTAAGAACTGGAATAGGAACTGGGGAAAATGTAAAAGAGGCAATTATAGAATGTTATCCCTCAAAGCTAAAAGAAACAACGCATTAATTCAATGTAAATGGGAAAAAATAGGTCCTATGTGGATTGGTGTTTGTTTGTTGTTTAGCTTCTTTAAAAATAGTCATGAATACATAAAATATGTGAAAGTGATCCTCATAAAGCACAATCATCCACCAGAGCTGGCCGTGCCAAACTTGCTCTATATGCCCATATGCATCCATATATGAGAGCTGCTGCTTTTTTGCCTCCTTGTTCTTGAACTTCACTAAGAGCTTTCAATTGCTCTGACATTTTCAGCCAAGGAAGTAATAGTTGTTGCTGAGCAATATTCTACAACCAATTATCTTATCTGATCATTGGAGCAATCCTCGCTGGAAAGGCACCAATACGATCAAGTTAAATCATTACAGAAAGGCAAGAGAAACAGAAGGAGGAACAAGCCGAGAAAAAGAGGCTCATCTCATTAACGGGTGCCTATGCTGCAGGCTTCGGAACAGCAGACAATGAAGTTAGCATGTAAGACAAAGCTGTGGAGTTGCCTCCTGTAGCTGTTGACAGGTCTGAATCCTCTCTTCAGAGCCCTTTGTGGCTGTAGTGTGAGGCACCTGCAGAAAATGTGCCAAAACTAGGCAGGGAGCACGAGCTTTTCAATAGGCTGTCACCTCTCTCTCCCTTCACTCACTCCTCCGGTTCTCAGCAGGAGAGGAGAAGCCATACTGAAGAACTAGACTGGAAAATAGTCATGTGATGGGAAAAGGGGTTGGATATAGACACCTTACTGTTGCCAACTTTCTGTGCCTTTTACAATTCAGCTTCCTCAACCATTCCTGAGATTTACTCTCTTTGCCTAATACTGCTTTTAGTCTAATGCCTCTAAACAACTGCATTATAAGGGCAGGCAAGCCACCATCTGATTACTGTCAGCAAGTGCATTTTTTAATGTTTATGTTTTCCTATTTCTGCTCTGTAAAGGAAGATACAGATTTTGTTTTCATTAACAGACTGGTAAACGGTGATTTGAGTAGAGCCAAAATTGCCACTGACTTTATCTTGTGGGTGAGTCTGGGGATGAAGCCAGGCTTCTTCCGTGGATTTCTAGACGTGGTCTTGTGCTTTAACTATCTGTGTGTAGAAGTCTGAGTTGTTTTAATGTTTCTAGAGAGGCCTACGCATACTTATTTAAAAGGAGAATGAATGCACTTCTGTACATACAGGCACATTAAGGACTTGTACGGAGTAATCTTCAGAGCGTGAAGAATTTGCAAAGGAGGGAGTTTTAACCATTCTGAAAATGGTCTTTGTGTGTCTGAGCATATTCATATATATACCTTGTACCTGTGTAACATTTTTTTTCTCTTCATGTACAACTTGTTACTGTGCATAGATGGTATTAGTGCAGGGGGCTTGGTGTCCCAATCAACCCTTCTCATACTCTACAAATACAAGATGGAATGTTTTCTGAAAAGAAACTCAGTGGATTAACAATGGTTGTATCTGCACTCTGGGGTACAAGTTTGTCTCGGTGTATCCTCATTGTGGCATTTTGCATACAAAACTTGGCTCCATCTTCTGAGATTGAGTTCAGGAGATGTTCTCCTCTGTATGAACAAATAACTTTCCATATGCACATTGCTGCCAGCAGTGACTCAATTAAGGTAGGTCTTTAATATGCCCAAGTGATATTTTTTGATAATGTTCTATCAAAAGTAAAATGAAATTATTTGAAGAAATGTTAGGGAAACATTTACCCTTAGACATTCATCCTTATATATTGCTGAAACATTTGACAGCTCCAGCAGGGAGGGAGTTGCTTTTTCTGTTAAAAGAATATAGGTACCTAATCCAGTAGGTCTGCAAGTACATGAAGAATACAGTCAGAGCAATCAGATGAATATGCGATTGTGTATCTCTTTATTCCAATCTGGGTTATGCATACTTTCCTTTCTGATGTCTCCTGAGACACATTGCAGGTAAGATCGCATTTAGTTTTTTGTTCACTCACCAGCACACTCCCCAAAAGGCAAAGGTTTGTGTCTGATTGTTTAAGACCTTGCTTCTGCTTTGAACACGTCTAGTTCCCTTGGAAAAACATTCTCCACGTCCCCATCCCCCTTTAGAGAAAACAAGTGAACTATTCATGCAAAAAAGTGTGTGTGTGGTTGGGAGAGTGGGGGGGGGGCGTGCAGTGCCACCGACAAACCCTATTGAAATGCATTGGCTGTTCATTTACATTCACACTTTTTTTAATAAAAATGTTAACTAATGATGTTAAATGCTTTGCCAAAGGTCCTGGCGGGTCAGTAGCCGAAGTGCCATTTCTGCCTAATTAGGGCTCTTGTGGCAGCCCAGGGGCCTCCTGATGCAGTGGGTGACAAGCCAGGAGCTGACAGCTTCAATCGACTCCAACAGGAAGGTTGGGCTGGTCATGTTTTCTAACTCAGCCAGGTGTTAGCTGAATGTAGGGGGGGTCTTGGCCAGACCTGAGCATTCGTTTGATCTTCCTTTCTTTCACTTGCTCTATTTTGAGCTCCTCCCTTTGCCTGTCCCGTCTTGTGTCAAGGTCAAGAATGAGCTTGACTAAATCAGCAATTTCATTTATCTCTGGGAGATCATTAGCAGTCGTTCTCCCTTCCCTCCCCACATAAACCTTAGGCACTGGTGCAGAAACAGGACTGGTTCCGTAAACCAGGCGCTGAGTAGTCCAAATATAGAAAGACATAAGAAGGAATAAACACAGATCTTTCCGTAAATAAAAACCTTTCTACTTCTCTGGTACTTTCCTTTTCTTTATTTTTAGTGTATAATAACATTGTCCATCAAAACACCCTAAGAAACAGACAGAAAAAGCCTATAGTATGTTTAAGGTTTTATTTCTTTACTACTCTAGTAAGAGCAGTAGAAAACACTGCTGTTAAATGACAAGAAAAGAAACGGGGTAAATAAGGTTTTCCTTTGACCTCAGCTGTCTTTTAGTAGCAAACTGATTATATTTGTGGCCACATTCTTTCGATAGTTGGCCGGTCCTAGGTGTCTCAACATCTAACAACTGTAAAATCAGATCATCAATATATTGGGGGATTGGCTTTTTTAATTGAGTGTCTTCACTTGTTTACTCAATAACACTTTAACTTCAGCTGAGTTGTGTTAGTTTCTGTTAACTGAAAAAATAGCCCTTTATTTATAAAGCGTAAACACATTGCTGGCCATTGTATAAGTAACTCAGGATTTTAAAATGCTTTACCAGACAATGGCAAAAAGCATTAGACCTGATCAAAGTGGTAAAAACTTACTACATTTCTGTCCTTTTTCAGTATAGGAGGAATCTGATATTGAGGTGAGGTTCATTTTTTCAGGTCTTATAACTAGTTTTCAGATATCTCAGTTTAAACAGATGAATTGAACTAATTCCACGTAAAAGTCTCTGTGCAAGAATTGCTCTGATTTTGATGGAATGAAACTGCAGTTGAGTTAAAAAGTACCACTTGGATGGTAACAGACAGCTGCCTAATAATGCTCAGGAGTAATGGCGGGAAACAATAAGGGAAATTATGAATTGCTGAATAGCTGCAGTCATATTGTAATGTTAGATTTGTTTGTTTGTTTGTTTTTTACAAAAAGAAAAAGAAATTCAGTTCTGGGGAAAACAAATACGCTTCTGTTGTATTTGGCGAAATTGTAGCTATGAAACAGTATAAAATTAGAACTGACAGCTGACATGCAGTTATACTTTAAGAGCATGAACAATTGAAGTGTAATTCCAATATTTTATTCAATACTTGTTTTCATTGAGGACAACTGTTACAGTAGCACAATGTTCCAAACTGGGAGTCTTAAAAGTTTTGTTATGCAGTTTGAGACAGTCTCCCTGACTTTCAAAAGAGATTATTATGAGGTACAGAGGTAATTGTGGCAAATTCATTTCTTTCAGGAGAAAATTTAAATAGAAAATGGGATGAGTCATGTTAGTCCACACCTTG